AATACTAGAACAATTGTGAGACCTTTCGGGAACTGGCAGATATCGCCCGTGGAGTAGCATACCTGTAAATCAATACTACCAGTACAAGCACCTCCCAGTACCCTAGGCTTATGTTTACTACCGCTATATTTAATATGTTACGGCAACTCCCCCTTACCAAACATTAGAATCCCTCTTCAAAACCCGGCCTCAGACACTCCAAATACCGGTAGTCACCTACACCTACCAACAGACTAAAGAGAACCCGGCAGGAAAAGTCCTTACCCGTGATTCCCCAAAATATCAAATATCTATCAAAATAATAACGTGACAGCCCTCTGCTATTCTTATCCACAACCCCTGTCTACGTATCTTTCGCTCTCCCAATAATGCCCACCGGCTGGGTTGTTGTCATACTGTACAAGCTTCTGATTACCGGTATGCCAATTCAACAACTCAAACCACCCCCCTCAAAGTCAAAAGAATTGCTGTCCCTCAATCATCCGAATAGTCTCCCTGAAACAACTCAACTCGCTATACCGCGCGGCCGGGAGTTGACTCATCGCTCTTTCCTACCAGCACTCCGCTCGGCCGTAAAAGCCATATTCTGAGCCTCCTCTTCGTGTTCCTTGTTCTTTGTGTCGACCTTCTTTACGGGATTCTGATGGGCCCTTTAACGCCTGGCTAGCTCTGCATGCAGTTGTATGAGGGGTTGAGCGCTGGCCATCTTGTTGATATTGGTTTGATAAAAACAGTACTGAAGGTGATCAACGGTTCCCCAAGTAGCTTATCCTGGTTGCTTCTGCAGCTATAAGCTAAGATGCGATGAAGGTTGAGATACGAGTAGCGGGGAAGCAAAGGAATTAAGGGTTCGTTTTACCTATAGACAGCCATCTAGCTGATGGAGACGGCACCGGGTGTCCCTGGGCAAGAATTGGAGACGGTCGAAAATTAGGTAACCGCTTTTCAGCCCTCTGTTGTAACTTAATTCTCTCCTGACTCCACCGTCTACTTTCACCATACGTATTGATTTTAGACGCAGACGGTTCGGTAAACGGACCCTAATAAAGACATTTGGACAATGATCTATCATACCATACCAAAAGCCACCGCATTTTAACCCGACGGTAAATTTTTGTCAATTTTCAAGATGCGAATTCAATCTGGAAATGTGCTGTTGCAAGGCGGTTCTGGACACATCTGGTACATACACCCCCTCCTGAAATGTAGAGCCGTAAACTTATAAGTCTACCATTGACTCGTCACAAGGCCTCCCGAAGTATTATTTCACTTCTATCGGGGTAGTGCCCATCGATGTTAGCCACATCTGAACCCCATCGATCGCCGCGTTCAAGGTGCTACCCCAGGTATCATAAGTGAAATAGTAGATCCAGTGACGGAAATTTGGGGTCTACCAGCTTAAGTAAGAAAAGACTCGTAAAAATCGTATGATACAAAAACTCGGTGAGAAGTTGTAACTCATTATATACAGTCAGTCCCTGGGCAAAAGTCCTAGTGATTGGGGTCGCTTCACGCCGAAATGGGCAAATACCCCGCTTTTGAATAGTTTTCCATCGCTCACCCAAAGATGAATCTTCATTTCCCCAAGTTCCTGATCCAGGGCCATTCTATTGGTGTAAGGTCTCATAATCAATTTGAAGCATACCTGCTACTAACTCAAGATCCTATATACAAGCTTGTAAGTTTCTACCATCGCTTAAAAGGCACTATTATTATCACCAGTCCATTAAGATGGTTTCCCCAGCAACATCTCAAGCAGTGTTGCCATTATTAATTAGGTGTAACTTGGGAGCCAAGAATTGGAGGTATTCTATAAACACTTGGAGGACAATCCCTACGTGCACATAGAACTTGGATGGCCTTTGTAAGGGTTTCTGCACAGGCCCGGAGTAGTAGCCCGACTAAAAACCCTTTGAAATGACCGATTTCGGCTCAAATATGCCGGATCACAAAGACTTTTCTCCAGACACTATGACACATCCAAAAATTCTCTTTAGGCTCCGGCCATTCCCAGGAGCCCAAAGGAAAATCACACAATATCACTCATCCACTCAAGCAGAATTCGGCACCTCATCTCCTGGGTGAGTGGGGTTGGAGAGTATTCTATATGACCCTGGTCTGAACCTATCACTCTATCTACCGCATTATCTAGCAAGGTCCGCCTACCGCCTGTATGATGAATTGGGGGGAAAAAATGGAAAAAGGAGGCCTCTTGCGACCGGTCTCAAACTCTCAACGGAAAGCAAGGCCTATTTTTTGGACCCTACCTAAGCGGCTGTGTTGAATGTTTTACTTTAGCTCCTGCTATATCCCAACCTACCAGCCGCAGGCGAAACTTGCCGGATAACGCGTACCGATACCCATCCCCATCATTCCTGTTCGTAGCAGCTAAAAATTGTCCGAAAACAGGAGTCGTGGATTCATATCGGGTTGAAGGCACCCACACACTTATTACCATACGTTTTGCAGGCCCCGGTTCTCAGGCACTGCTTGCCTGATACGGGCACTATCAACTCCCAGCTATCCCTACTCAACCTGCGACCCCCTTACTAAATGGTTCCAGGCGCACCCCAAAAATTCTATCCTCTTCTAGCTCCTTAAGAATCCCCCAATTATGGCGCAACAGCTCATACACCTGCCGCTGGGAATATTATTCAGAATTCCAATCCTGCCGGCAATCCGCATCGCTGAATACTTCCCTCTCTGAACCTTCTTCCTACTTCTATGGTTTCCGGATTTTGCCCCTTCTGGAGTGTCCGGCGGGGAGTTTTGAAAGTTGGGAGATTGGTGGAGAGGCTAGAGACTTGCTCGGAGTTGGGTATTTTTGGTTGGTGCGGTTCGATCTCTTGCAGGAAGTTGGAGAGCTGGTCTGGGTTTGTGGTTCCTATGCTATCCCCGCTCCTTGCCAAAAGTGTTATTGTCGAGAGATGGGTGCGAAGGGTGAATAGACTGTCCGTTAGATTTATCAATGAGGCTTGCGAGTGCCGAAGATCGAGGTTAACTCTGAGTTGAGATTGCTTGGCCCACATTCAGACCCGTCACAGGAGTCATAGCAGTCCCAAATTCAATTGTCAATTAGAATATTGAGAGGATCGCTTAGCGAATCATCAAGCGATCCTTACCGAATTCCATGACCTTTTGAGAGAAACATCTTTCTCCAGGCATATTTATCTGCAAACCCCCGTCTGAGTTACCCCTCGCGCCAACTCTGCATGATCAGAAACCCCGAGTGATTATCTATGACCACCATGTACCAGTATCATAAGAATGATAACTCTGGCCAGTGTGCCACTTACGTAGCACTACTATATCTACTACTTTCCCCCCCAAAGAGGGGGAGGATACGGGATACGAGTGTACACCCGGTCAGCACCATTCAACGCCTCATCTGATATCTATCATACAAATTCCACTTTCAGAAACCCCACAAACCTCTAAACCGGCCTCGACCAGGATAAATCTGATTTCCTATCCCGCTCAAAACACAAAACCCTTAGTGCAAGGGTCCGAGAAAAAACTTGAGTGTGTGATGTAATGGGAAGATGAGCCAACGACACACCTGGTTTCTTGGCCGAAGCACCATATCTCAGTGCGAAACTGTCAGTGCGAAAGCGAATAAAGTAACATTCAGGCCTCAGCCGACAGCCCCAAACCTGCACACTAACTTATCCTCTAATTACTACCGAACAGCAGTAGTCAGCGAGTAGGCCATCTAGACCTCAAATACCGTGCTTTCTTCGATCCGTAAGGTGATAAGAACAGCTCCATCAGCCCGGCCAGGAAAACACAACCAGAGCTCAGACACTCCATAAGGGTGTTCGCTCCCGACAGATTTAGATATCACCGTACCGGAGATCCGTACAGACATATGGGATTCAAAGGAGGAAAACCCCTTCTCTGCTTTTTTTTGCAACCAACTAACTTCCTCCCGACCGCGAACCACATCCCCAGGTGTATCGACCAGAGTTGGATTCCACCACTATACCCCGTAGCATGAGTGATTTTGTCCCCACAGCCTTATTGAAGAAGGCTAAAGTCTCCAACGGTCCCAGTCCCACAGGGCAGGATTACTCGTTTTTTATATGATACACCACGTGATGGACCGTTCGATAATAACTCATTCTCCTGATAATTGCGCAGGGGTTATTGGTTCCCCGCATCTTGGCCACTGCCCCAGTTAGGTACTTCATGTAGTGTCACCCTGGGAATGAGAATTTATTCTGCTGGTATGCTGATTTGAATTAAAATTTTTTTTTTCTTCTTCCTAGTCTGGAGTTGAAGATGGTATTATTATATTATAATCAGTAACATAAATAAGTGCCAGTCGCACACCGTTGTCCCAGATTGTCAAAACGCTTAGTGGACTATCCGGGATGACGAAATATCCGGCAGAGAGTGCGGCGAACGAGGTCCCCATTGGAGAAAAAAAATAAAAATCAAGGGATAAGTTGATTGAGTATGGATAACTGGCCGGTGTTCCGGTCTTAATGTGGGATGGAGTAGCAAATAGAAGGTATAGGGAATTAGTTGAAATTTTAAACAAGAGATCTAACACCCAGAATTGGATTATTAATATTTTTTTATTTTTTTTCCTAATCTTTTCCTTTATAATACCTACTCATCATGCTACCCCTACAAAAGTTCACATAAAAGTAGAAAGTTCGACATCCCTCCTCAGGTCCGAAATGTCCACTCATAGGAATCAATCGGAACCCGGGGCAGGCACACATTTGGAAATCTGCCAGCGGTAGGGGATAATGATTTGGAGGATGACGGAGGGGAAGGGGGTCATTTTTACCGCGCATTTGAACATCCTGTGGCGTTAAAAACGGGCTAATAAGATGGAAATCCAGGGTACGGAATATGATATATTTTCTGTCTGGGCAGGGGGTTCGAGATGCATGAATTCCTATCTGATCAGAAAACACCTAAAATCTGGGACTGTGATGGCGCGTTTTAGGAAAGATCGCCCGGGACAACAGAGGGCGACTACGCCTTACATTTCCCTTCACCGGATGCTCATCCGAACATCTCCGTATCCCATTTTTCCGCCCCCGCCGCCTTCCTCAATCCTGCATCTCTGCCGGTGTGCGGTCTGGCCTGGATTGTCCCGGTCCAAGTGCACTACCTACTCATATGGGGAGGGTAGAAATTTTGTGAGCGCCCGTGGTTCATGATAATTGACTGGCTTGTGGAGGTTGTGGGTCGCTTTTATTGTCGGGATCATCCTGAGGACTCATTCGGACTACACTCTCCCCGAAAATTTCCCACAGCTCCCCCACCATCAGCTCGAAAGGGGTATGCAATGGAGTCGGATGTGTGGTTTTTATCTTGAGATGGGCGGCATATATCGAATTCCCGATATATCTCCAATATAAATGGGGCATATAGGTCATTGTTGAGCACCATAGCTAAGAGACAGTTAATAAAGGGAGACATTATTGAGAGGGGGGGACTGTTGGCGGTAGAAAAAAACTATTAAGGTAGATCTGAAGGGGAGGGGGGTTGGTGCCATACCGGTAGAGGGGAAGCTGCAAAAAAAACACGCCCGAGCTCGTTGTAGACAAAAACTTAATTGAGGAGTTTGCTTTGCTATTGGGATAAGTGAAGGCTCCACTCGGTCACTAGGATATCCTAGTGTCAAAGTGACCTGCAGTATCATACCGGTACTCGTACTTAGTCAAGATGATAGCCACGTGACCAACGAGATAAGTTATCCCTTATCCCCTCCATCAAGAGAATCTCTTTACGACCAGAAAGGGGCAAATGCACTACCGGTATGGGAGTAAGCTCATCCTTGAGGGAAGAGAATTTATAAACACCGATCACCGATCGCTGGCCACAAAATCCCTCTGCGTCGAAAGGAGTAACAACGGGAGGGATATTAGTGATGAAAAAGGGTAGGCGTGGTGATGATCAAGAGAGAATTTGGAAAGAGTTGCCTATTTCAGACGTACGGCCGAAGGCCGCCTGGAGACACAGGTGCGTCGATAAGTGTATGAAGATACCGGAAGAATATGATACCGGCACTGTACTGAGTACTGTACCGGTACTATGATACTATATTGGTGACTTGCAATGACCTCATTCAGGGTATCATGCCCGACTTTCAGGTGGAGCGCCACGAGGTTTCGGTGCGACCTCGGGCGCGATGCCTTAGATACTCAGACAATTCTGGTTCCTACAGCGTTTGACGAGTGACCCGGTGTGATGTATTCTGGCCAAGATTCGTGATACGGTAACGGGTTCATGACCACTCCACATTACTACTTACACTCACTAGCTATGTTCCGATCTGCAAACCTTGACTACAGCCCTTGGGAGATCAACAAACGTACACCCAAGGGTGGACATTTCACATAGCAAAACGCACATAACTTAGCTGTTGCAATGAACTGCTGTTATCCCTGGTCAAGACGGCCAATGTAGCAAAGAATGAGGGCCGTCCTAGCCCGCGGCGGAACACCTTGTCTAGCTTAGGATCATCATTATTACCGTTACTGTCATATCGTACCTTCTGTCACTGTGCTCGCGGACCCGAGGGGTCGTGAAGCAGTAAAATTACAAAGAGGGACCCGGGCTTACTGGTCCATCGAAGGATCCAGCCAGTGCCACCCCGTCTCACTCGCCCTTCTCGCTATCACATCCTGATCCTGCATTCCCCTACTCTGTTGCTTTTGCCTCTCAGTCCCCACTCCCTCAGTTGACATTTACTCTCTCATCATCCCTAATTCCGCCGCCTGTACGATCCCTTCGGGTGTGCGGGTGCAGTATCCGCTCGGCCTTTCCCAGGGAGCTAAGGTGTGAAGGCCTGCAGGCGGATCTGTGACCCCCCCGAAAAAACAGTAAAGCAGAATTTGGTGCAAGAAATCGAACTAGGATCACAAGTCGCAAGATGGGTCTAGCTTATGATAAGCTGTCCCACCGCATTGTCAGAAAAACCTCCCGTAATTTTCATAGCAACCATTGAAGCGACCGTGTCTTGTCATCTGAGTCCTGTTTCTAACCACGAGTAGGGAGGCTTATTTAACCCACCAGGGCGTTCTAACTGTTCGAAGACCAACCCCACGAGTATCAGCGACGCCGCGCCGGATGGCCGGTTAAGAGATTCCTGACTCGTGCATCCAGCATGGAAAAAAGTATGATAAAATTCCCTATGAGACAGGCTACTGTTGGAATAGCAGTGTGCTCGTGTCATGACATTGTTGGAACGTAGTAGCCGTACTGGACTGCCGTATTCATTTCGCAACCAACTATACATCAGCTCATCCGTTGCCGAGAACTGGAGTGATTGTACCATTAGCAAATACATGTAGTATTCGGGCACTCGGGTACTTTACCCGTTGGATATTGTGGATCAGGGGCCAAGCACAGTGCTGTACGATACCCATTCCGCGGAAACAAGGAGTACCAGTTGCCTGAGCGGCGTCAAGTGCCTGCAGAAAATATAACCATATGTAGGTTATCGTACCGGTACTGCTGGCACAGACTAAAGTTAGTGCGCTCGTTGAGCGCAAGCTCAAACAACATTAATTTTTTAATCTACCCCCACAGGAAGAGTTCAAGAGGACCCTCATGAGGCCAACTTTAGATAAGTTAGCGCCCGGTCCCCAAATCAACTAATCATTCTGAGATCTACACGTGAAACCGCAGGTCACATACCATTTCCGGGGGCAAGAACACAGGGATGTGCCCTCCAAGGAAGTGAATCCCCCCCACCCTCACAGGAAAAGAAATAAATTCCAGCACCGCCTCATGAAATTTGTATGCGGAGGGATACCATGTGCCTGGGAATAGCTGCACACCCGCACTTCAGCCTCAACCCGAGGGAAAGATCAACACTACCAACACCTTTACCGTCATGAATGGGACGTCGATGCCAACCAACGGCTCAACTTCAGCCGCCATGGGGAGTGGTGGCGGCGGCGGCGTTATGCCCATGCTGGGTGGGCAACATAATCCGCTTCAGCATTACCAGCAACAGCTCCAAGCTTCTCAAGCCGCCTTGGGCCAACTTCCTACTTATCCACAAGGTAAAGTCTGATGGAGAAATGCACCTCTCCCTCCTTCATCCCCGCTACCTGCATTTCAACACTTGCTCCACCCTGTTGTGATCGGAGCCTCCCCTGAGCGTGGCGTGGGGTCGCTTCGAAAATTCATCGCGTGGAGTTCAAGCTAACGACCATCCGTCATGAAGGCACTCCGGCCCAAAACCTGTCGCCCCATCCTCACCCATCGTTATCGCCTACGTCGGCATCAGCCTCCTCCGCGTCCTCCATGGCACTTCAGCAACAGCAGCTCTTGCTAAACCGTCAAATGGAGACTCAAAGTCAACTACAACTCGATAAATCTCGGGTCACATTAATCCTCCAGATAAACACTGAGCTTCTCCGAGAAACAATAAACCTCCAGGCGAATGGAAAGGGAGCCGGAGGCGAGGAGAACAAGACACCCGACAAGGGATATATTGAGTACGCGACCAAAAACAGCGCCGGGCCCTCGTCTTTTGCTATGTGCATTCACTGATACCCAAAGCTCGGTTTAGATGTATGCGACGGCTTCAATGTAATCTGGCCTACCTAGCTGCAATTGCCGACCGCTCGCATAAGCCTGCTTCCCAAATCCCACCCTCGCCCACAATTCTACTCGCGCCGCCCGGAATGCCGGCTCTCGAGCAGATGTACAAAGACCTGCAAGGCCTCTATCCCAATGTCAAACCCGGGAACCCATCGCAGTCCGGACAAGCGTTGAGTCAAGGCGGAGGAAGCCAATCAGGGAGAGGGAGTCAGAATGTGTCGCCAAAGGTCAACGCTGCCGATAAGCCTACAACTCAACATCAACAGCAGCAACCCCAACAGCAGTCCCAGCAACACCAACAGCACCATCACCACCAACCAGCTCAGCAACAAGTTCAGCAACAAGTTCAGATGCAGTCTCAGCAGAGCCCCCGACACGTAACATCACCTACCCCGCCAGCACAAGTCCCACACCAAGGTTTACCACATCAGCAACAACCAATGCAAATGCAAATGCAAATGCAGGGGATACCTGGCCAGCAACATGTACAATTCTCTCCCCCACACCATCCACAACCGTCACCACATAGTGCTCCTCAGATGGCACAGCAACATGTCCAGAGCGTCGGACCAGGCGGCCAGATGCCGGCGAACTATGCCCTTCTCCAACAGCAACAACGGCACGCGATGATGCAAGCGCAGGCGCAAGTGCAGGGTCGACAAATGCAAGTTCAGGTGGGAGGGGTTCCGTCTACGATGAGCATGAATTCCGGCGTCGGCGGAGGTATGAGTAATGGCATTCCAGTGACCTCAATAGCTCAACAATCGGGGATGCCACAGCAGGCCATGATGGGGAATATGGGTATGGGTATGGGTATGCCCCCAGGCATGGTTCCGGGAATGGGAGTACCAATGAGTATGGGGGCGCCAATGGGCGGTGGGCCGATGGCAGGACAAATGGGCGGTCCCATGGGCGGTCAGATGGGACAAATGGCACAAATGGGTGGCCAAATGGGAGGACAGATGGGAGGACAGATGGGGGGGCAGATGGGAGGCCAGATGGGAGGACAGATGGGGGGTCAGATGGGGGGTCAGATGGGGGTCAGATGGGGACAGATGGGGGCCAGATGGGGGTCAGATGGGGAGTCAAATGGGGATCAATATGGCCCAGATGGGTCAGATGGGTCCTGGGATAGGCCAGCAAGGTTTTGACATGTCACAAGGAATGTGGAACGGTGGCTGGCAGTCTGGGCAAGGCCAGTAGTGGAGAGCATTTGATTATCATTTTGTTTAAAATCTCAATTCTCCTTAACAAAAAAAAAAAGTTTTGGAAATTACTATTTTTCTAAGAGCTGGGTGGAAAATAGTGTCTTCAGTCCTGTTTCTTGAATTTGCTGGGTTTTTCTGCTTTCCGTGGCTTCGTTCATTTCCTTCACCTTTGTTTTCAGATATCCTTGTGGCCAGCAGAAACAATCATAATGCATGAACCATATAATGGCTTTGTTAAGTTACAGTCATGTTGATTTTGGCGAGAGGAAATGACAAAAGATAGATTCTGATTCACGTTCTCTGATTCATTGCCCTCCGTCATCCACACGAGATCTCGATCAACCTACGATGTTTAGTGTCATTCTTACACCTTCTGGAAGACGCGCAGGTCACATGCCCACGTGTTTTCGCCAAGAAGTGTGATATGGGGGCGGAGTGCATAGGTTAGGTTAAATCGTTTAGTGAAGTCACTTTTGGCGGAGTTGGCTCTTATATTGCTCCTACCATACAGGTCACTCGCCTTGTTGGGGGATGGAAGATATTGGCACTATGGTTGAAAGAGTAAACTACTCGTGTTGTCATCATTACGAGATGCAGGCACAGTACCTACTCGCGGGAGGTAAAACTAAAAAAAAAAAACTTGTTTGGATATCCTATCATCGCATCACGATAGGGCCTCCAGGGTCTCCAGTATAAGGCCATACCAGGTTCGCAAGGCTACAATATATTGTAGTATCATACAGTTCATACCAGGTCGATAGGGTTGTTGGGTAGACTATGAGAGCGCAAGACGGCAAACGCTCTATCCGCCCACTTACTGCTCGTGCAGTCGCTTCAGTCGATAAGGCACAAAATACCAACAAGGCTACCATCAGCACTTTTGTCTGTTCCATCCTGCGAGGGAGGTAGCCTTACTCAGGTATTGCACGAGCGCTCGCTGTGGCTTTTGAGGTATATCATATTTGCGGATACGGTAGCGGTTTGGACCATGTGGCCCTTGCAGCCAGGTTAGAGGCTCTATTGCAGAGAATCTGCGGAAATGTCCTGCACTGTACAGTTGTTATTGCTTCTGAGCATCCCGATTTTGCACGGCGCTCGTAGACCCATTGGGCAGCGGCCGCTCACGGATCAGAGCCGATCGACCAAGTATCTTTTGGATTCTCATTCTTCGCCTTCCTCTTCAGAATACTTGAGAGTAACAGCGGCTCGACAGTATAGTTGTCCCGGCATTAGAGGATGGTGGTTGTGCGTTGGCCAGCATAGCAACGGCCGCCTTGGAAGAAGCGCAAGCACCCGAGGGCAAGTGGTTGCAAGGGTTCTCAGGTGGAGATTGGCTGTTACCGTAGTTACAGTATGTGATGTTCTCTGGATTTTTTTTTAATTCTTTCCTGTCTCCCTGTCCTCCCCTTCCGCTGTTTTCTGGATGCTGGTTTGGGAGATCTACAATACGGCTCGTCTTCCTCTCTTCTCTCTCTCCTGCCATCATTTACTCTCTCCCTTTCCCTCCCTCCTCCTGGCCGTATTGTGGGGCACTTAACACAGCGGGCTCCCTTCTGGCGTTACCGTGCCGTGCCCTCCTCCATCAGTGCCTAATTTACTGAGTAGGGTACTGTACGAGTACTGTACAGTACAGCACAACCCCACCATAAGCTAACCATCACCACCACCACCCCCCCCCCCCCACTGCAACCACAACCACAACAACCACAACCTGAACCACTCGCAAACACAAGCACCACCATCAGAAGTCCTTGGCCACTATTTCCCCTTGCCTTTCCTGTCTATCAACGGGACCTCTTCCAACCACTCGTTCTCACTCTCCTTTTAACCAGTTATCCTCTCATAAACACCCCCGCTCCAGATACTCATTCGTTCCAGAATTCAGAGTTGTTCTACGCCTCATTCCGCCCTTCCTTCCGCTTCGAGTTCCCCCGGAATTCGGTCGGAGGCCTTGGCACTGCTGCCCCCCTCCCCCCCCCCTCTCGACCTTTTTTTTCTTCCTCTCCTTCTCTCATCTTTCTCCTTTTTAACTGCAGATATTATCTTCCTTTCCTTCCTTCTTTCCCTCCTTCCTTTCCTAGTGTAAATCACCTTCATCAACCCACGCACTGTCCCTCTTGCTTGCATCTCGTTCCTCGACCTCTTGGCCTCCCACCCACCTTTCTCATAAGGACACAGCTGAGTGTTCGCTTGCGGTGGCAGTGTGTGGCTAGGGGCTAGGGAGTCATGGCACCGAGTGAGATTGACTTTTATAAGGTTCTTGGAATCCCCAGGGACGCGTCAGAGGATGAGATAAAGAAAGCTTTCAGAAAAGCTGGTGTGTTCTTCCACTCTCCCGTAATATATTTTCCTCCGTTACCGGTAGACTCTGAACGTTGCATTTCACATGTACTGACCCATTTTCCAGCCAAGGACACGCATCCGGATAAGAACCCTGGTGACCCTTTAGCTAAGGAAAAATTCCAGGACCTACAGAGGGCGCATGATGCATTAAAAGATAGCCTCGAGCGAGCAAAGTACGATGAGGATAATCCCTATCACGGATGTTCTGATGGTGCATACACACAACATAGCAAGACCAAAGCGTCGGGAACCGCAAAGAGATACACCACCCCTGCGCAGCCACAATGGGGAGCGTCTTCCTCAAGCACCTTCAGTTCGAGGGGATTTGCCCACCAATCAGGAGGTCGAGCGAGTGCTTACAAGAACACTTACAGTGGGTATCCAGAAGGGACCTACCGGAAACCTCGTTCCGGTTATGAGAACACTGGTACATTTAGATCAACTGCAGGCCATGACGATGGTTATAGATTTTACGACTCCGGGTATCGTCCGGAGTCTCCCAGAGACTACGATAGAAGTTCCTCAAGTCAAACGGGCCCTCGCCAATCTACAGCTACTCCTAATAGTGCTAAGACGCCCTCGTCATCCTCATCCCGTACGAGACCTAATTCTACTCCCGATCCACCACAAACTGATTCCGCTGCACCGACCCCTGAGTTTAATTTGAAGGCCTATATTAAGGAGCGCAGAGCTAGGGAGGTCGCTGCTGAGGCGGAGCAGAAGAGGCAAAAAGAGGAGGAAGAGGCTATGCGAGCCAGGCGGGCAGAGATGGAGGAACATGCAAAGAAAGCGGAAAAACTGAGGAAGGACGAGGAAAGGATAAAAAAGGAGCTTGAGAGGGCAAAGGCTGAAGAGGCTAAGAAGGCAGAAAAAGAAGCTAGAGCCAGGAGAGAGTGGACCGAGGCCAACAAACATCATTCTAGAAGCGGATATAACCAAGGAGACCCACCTTTCGCCTTCCCATTCCATTCTGCTGAAGTGGATTCGGAGGAAGTGGAGGCTAGGAAAGCGGAAGAGGAAGCTAGAGCCAGGAGACAGTGGAGCGAACTCAATAGGCATCATTCTAGAAACGGATACAGCCAAGGAGATCCGCCTGTCGTCTTTCCATTCCGTTCTGCTGAAGTGGACCTGGAGAGGAAGGTGGACGAAGAACTGCGTGCGAAGACTAGGAGTGCAGCCTCCTCTGCCTCCAGGCGGGGATCGAAGAAATCTCCCACAAAGCCAAGGCACCAGCACTCACATGAATCTGATACCAATGGGTATGCCGATGACTGGAATAAATCGGGGGTTAATAGCGGCAATCCGGGCAGTTTTGCTTATCAATATTCCAAGGGTGAAGACAGTAGCGAGGGTTTTATGGATAAGACGCTGAGAAGGGAAAAGGAAAGGGCGGCTAGAGAGAAACAGCGAGAGGCTAGCTCTGATCAATGGGAAAACCCTTCTCGTGAAAATGGCCCAAGGATTCACACCAGGACCAAGAGTGATCCTAGGCCTCCTGGAAGGCGAGGGTCACCTACCGAGCCAGAAACAGCAAGCACTTCTTCTCCACCTCCGCCACAAGCCGATCGAGAGAAGCAAAGTCCTCGTATTGCATCCCCAAAGCCGAGACGTACCGACGCTCAGTTCCGGTCGGTGCCCTACGTTTCACCCGGCACAGCAACGAACCATACTGATTTTTCGGGATCTAGCTTCAGATTTGATCCAGTTCCGGATGGCTCAGCCAGAAGAGATTCACGCCATACCCCCGAAGCTGCCGCTACACCAGTGGGCCGGGAGAGCCCGTTTTCCAAAGACCCCGATCTCCGCTTCTTTGATAATAAAGCTCAGATCGACCCTTTCAATTACACTACCGCTGAAGAGCTTTTCCCTCCCAAGCAGCCTTTCGCTCGCCCTCAAAGTCAGCCTGTATACCCTACTCAACCCCAACATGCACCCGTTCCTCGACAGACCCCCCAACCTCACACCCAACAGCAACACCAGACACGACAGCAGCCAGATAACCAGCCATTCAAAGAAGCTCTCTGGGATAACTTAATAAAGACAACTAAAGCATTTACTTTTCGACCTGAGGTTCCGACGGCAGCGTTACGCAGTCCCAAGAAGATGAGTAGCTCAGGCATTAGCAAAGGAAAGGGCAAAGGGAGGGAAACAACTACCACCACTGACCCTATCAATCTTTCGACTCATGACTGCACGGGTGCCAAGTGTGGACAGTGCCCCACAGATACTAAGGACCCTATAAAGCCAGAGCCTATGGAGAACTCCAGATCACAGACCAGCCACAAGACTACAGTTGAGGATGACGTCGACGCTATGGATACTGCACCAGATACTGGAGTTCCTTCGCCAACGACTGGTGTCAGACCCAAGTTATCGGGACTCGGTATCGGCCTGCCTGTGGATGGCAGCTCGGCATCGCCACGCTCACCTCTCCCCGGGCAATTGGGGGGACTCGATACCTTGGGCAAGTTCATGGGCGTGCCTCCTTTCAGGCACGCCAATGTAGGTCTCGGGGGCTTTGACGATGTCAAGGGCAATTTACCCTCTCTGCCCCAGCCCTCCATCCAGCCGCGACAGGGCCCCAGTCTGAAGGGTAAATTGCCGAGGCCTTTCAAACCGGATATTCGTGATATCTATGAGCCACAAACCCCGGCTGAGGAACCGTTTGCCGTTCCCCTCCCGCCAAAGATCCCGAAAACACCACGAACCGTAACCCTCGAATCCTACAATACACTCTTCTACCTTGTCGAGCCATACATCAAGAAATGGAATGAGTATGAGGGGAAGTACAATGACCTCCACACCCGCCTCTCGAGCGCCGGGCTCCGTGACGTGATGACTCTCGACGGCAACACAATCATGAATTACATCACCCGCGTACGCGAAAAGGACATAATTCTAGAGGACTCGTACCGCCAGGCGCGCGAGAAGCATATGCAGGCCCTGGAGGGTTGGGTCGATTACCGTAACCTAGTCCTTGAGCTGAAGCAGGGATGACTATCCGGGACCCCCGTCGGCAAACACCCCATTTTATTCGTCAACTCTGTCTTGCTGTCTTGCACCGCAGTCGCTTTGGTTTTGGTGCATTATGGGATTGTTACTGTGCCGCTTTCGTTCGATCAGGGCGTCAACAGGTTGGAGGGGGTCCTGAGATCGCTTTACTCGGGATAAATCTTTTTTCTTGTTTACGCCTCTCTTTTTGGGTTTCCAATTTCCCTTCATTGGATCCGATTATGCTCTTTAACGCTTCTCTTTTTTTTTCGTACTGCGCTTCAATTTCTAAGCCACCCTTTGTCCTTCCGAATACCGGGTTCTTTTTGTCTAGTTATATACCTTATATTCGTTTTTCCTACTTTTCTCTTCTTTCTTGCACGCTTTATACCATGCTAGACCTGCATGAGTTTAACGGATGTGGCTATTTGGCCGTCTATACATTCGGCTGTCTCCTAGGGGGGTTGTCACCAAGACCAAACGGCGGAAAATCGGGTTTTCGTTCTTATATGTATTAGTATCACTGGGTTGGCTAGCATGGGGCTTTCGGGATACCGGATGTTTGGGTGTAATTAATTGCTTTTATTGGGGGAGTTCTGATTTGTCTCTCTGGGTGGGCATGGTAGCCGGTGAGTGTGCGTGGGATACAGAGTCATGTTTTATCACTCGGTGTTTTTTGCGATTGAGTGAGAGCTTGTATTTGCTGAAGGATTCGGTGGCGGAGGCAGAGTTTATTCTTTGTGCAGGTTTGGGTTTGGATATGGGGGAGAGGGGGCGAAGGGCTCGGGAAACCTAGCTTAGTCTTTATCTTATGGTAGGATTAGCTTTTGTTTGTTTGTTGCCAAAATTAGCTATTCAGAAATTATCATGTTGCAATGGTGCTTTGCGGTAGGCTGTGAGGCCTGATGGTGGTTTGACGCGGTGTTTACTCTTGCACTGTACCATGTCGGGGCAAAAAGTGATGAGAAATCTGAGGATTTGATCAGTTCTTGTCATGAGATCCCCAAGAGCAACAAATTAGAATCCAAGTTTAATATAAGGAAAAAAGTGACCGGAAAGTAGAAGATTTTCCTATTCTAGTATGGGGTAGCCATACCACCTGCCGCTATCGCTGCTCTAAGGAAAGTATTTGCGGTCTAATCAGCCACAAATGAGAATTGTTTGTGATATCTATCTTCGATAGGCAAGGTACTTGCCAGCACAGTGCCAGAACCTCACAACGCAGGCACACACTATGTGAGAGCAGGTGGCAAAGCTAGTTTGTGAGGCAATGATTGGGCTCAACCTCGAGAACAGGATTACTTCACACCTCACTACTACAATGGGGTCCGTATCACTTGTGAGTATAATACCGTACTCGTATCTCCCTGATTTCCGACATCGAGTGGAGTCTACGATACAGTACAGCACCAATCGCCTCCGTTCCGTTCCAATCACTTACCCTTTACACTCCCCCTGGCACATGGCCCAGCGTCGATACGCAACCAATGATACATTGCGGTATGATAAACCGGCATATCGTACCAAGTCTAGATCCGCCAGATTCCGTTCACAACAAGCTGACAATTCTGCATCGTTAGTGATGTTACTGTACAGTACACGTTTCCGGGTTGGTTGATTTTAGTATTTTGTGCCTGATGAATGCGTGGAGTTTTCTATCGGATTGGGTCGGACGGATCTTGTATCGCTAGAAATGAATACTCGCGGGGTCCTATGGAATGCCCTTTCTCTGGTATTTTATCTATTATGGTATGCGCTGTGCTTGCCTGCCTACCTGCCTGATACGTGTTCGTGTGGTATGTTATATAGACTACAGAACTGAAGTGATTACTGCAAGATATCTACCTATCATACAAATTATCATTCCCTATTAGGGTTATGGTCCCGCGCTGTTAGCACCGGTATGGTAGATCGGGAGCCAACCCGATGTCTGTATGTCTGTCTGTTATCCCTTTCCCTAGCTTGGGTAGCGGTTACTCCGCTTCTGTGTGCGTGGGTGGGCATGATGAGCGCTTGTCAAGGGATTAGGAGGAGGAGATAATACGGTGCAGTACAGTACAATGCTCGAGAAAGCCCCAGGAAAAGGCGCTCGCATATCCACGCAACGTATACATACACATATACGTACTCACGCGCAAAGGGAGAGGGAAAAAAAAAGACAGAATCCACAAAGGTGAGAGAACCTACCCCAGGCAGCCAGCACGCGCTAAACCAGATAGATGGTAGGGTTGGTACACCGGGTCTACATCCACCCTCCTTCGGAAGGAACTTGGTCTCTGCTAGCAAACAACAATGGAAATTAATAGATTGAATATTCATATAACTCACAGAGTATCTCCACCCACCAGGGGAGTTGTAGGGGGAAGGGAATGTCTTTGGGTTTTCGTTACCGTGCAGTTTATGGGGGTTGTGGTTTATTGGGTGCACACGCGCAACTCGCAAAGCTGTCGCGCCCGGGCACAATGTATCATTCGCAGTTCTCCAAGGCGGGAGCAAGCCCTAATGAACAGGATAACCTAGGAATGGGTGGTGGTTCACGGCGTATCATAGGATAAAGGTCGCGAGTAAACGGAGAACCGACCGTGAGTCAAGTCATAGATAAACTACGATAAACCAAATCACAAGTTACAAGTACGAGTACAGCGCAGCACGGGCGAATCTGAGCACCCCACTACCAACCATTTCGCATGCAGAAAAGAAAGAAAAAGTATATACAACCCTCCCTAGTGCCTCGCGACAAAGCCCCCAAAGTTTAATACAAATAAAGATAAAAACACTAAACCCCTTTCGCGCCATCAGACAGTCTCAATCCCCTCCACAGCATCAATAGCCCTCCTCCCCTCCCTCTCGAAAATCTCAATCAACCTCTCCGCCTCGCGACATAACCTTTCTTCACCCTGGACCGCATTCCACTTCACCCAATCCCCCACCGTCATCTCCTTCTCCTTCTCCGTGAGACCCGTGTTGTCATCGACTTCCATTTCCGACGCGTGAAAGACGGTGTCTAGGTCCACTGCAGTCCAAGGACGCACGGTGGCGAGCTTGCCGGATGGTTTAGTTTTTGGAGTTGAAGTTAGTGGGACGGTAATTTGTGTCCTTACAGGAGAGAGTGGGATGCGTGCTGGTGATTGGGGCATGCGAGCCGGGGAGTGGGGGATTGCAGGTGGGCGGCGGTTGGGGCGGGGAGGTGATGTGGGGGCTGCGGTGGGTGGCGGTGGTGCTGAAGGGGGGATGACTTCGTCGAGCTCTGTGTCCGAGCCGGGGTAGAGATCTGGGTCTGGAGCGCGGTCGGAGAAACTTACGGATCTGCCGGTGGCTATAGGCCTGCTTCCCCTGGACATGGATTTTGGTTCGTCTTCCTCTGTTTGGCCGGGGTCTTGGGGTTTTGCCAAGTTGCGAGGCTCAATCTCAATTGCTTTCATAAGCCTCTTAACAGGGCGTGCCTTTTTAGAACCCTCATTGATGGAAGAAGTTATTTCCTCGGATTGTGACGATGCAAAGAAACTTTCGCTACCCTTCTTAAGGATATCTTCAATGTTTCTACTCTGAGTGGTCTTCTTCCCAAGTCTCTTGCTGCCCTTCTTGGACTTCCTCCCTGCACCGCTGGCAGACGCTCGAGAAGCATCGCTCTCGTCTGCAGAATTACCAACACTGCCCGTAGTTTTATCTGTAGCTGCGGAAAGGAGGCTGCTTCTGGTAGGACGCTTCTTCGGCGGTACAGTAGTCTTCTTGCCACGCTTTATCTTGGGAGGTGGGGCAATCTCGTCCCCAGGCTGTCGGTCTCTCGGGTTGATCTTATACTTGATAACGCTCCCTGCATCCGAAAGTACTGCCCGAGCCTCTGCTCCAGGGCTAATTGCTGAATCATGAATGATTATAGATTCGTCGATAGATGTTGCCATCTGTTCGCTCTCTGAAGCCATTGACCTCATAGATGAGGTCATATTGTTCATGCCAGAGGTGCCGGAAACAATCGATCTCATGGAAGAAGTCATGTTGGGTGCAGCGGTGGTATCCGAGATAATTGACCTTATGGAGGACGTCATCTGCCCACCGGTATTATCGGAGGCAATTGAGTTCATAGATGTTGTCGATAGTACACTAGCCCGGCCTTTGATTTTCCGGACACGTTTAGCTTTAAGTGGCACCTCTGAGGAATCCTCGATTCCACTAGGTGGTGGAGGAAGTTCCTCTGCCGCAGGTTTCTCTGATTCAATCTGGGTAGGAAGTGATGGCTGACTATCAATCGAAGTGCTCCGGCTAGGTGGTTTCTGCCCTTTCGCGACTACTCTACCTCTCCTCGGTTTTGGAGCCTCAGCCTCCTGAGGAGCAGCCTTCTTCCCTCTTGCTACTCTCCTAGCAGCGTGCCTCTTAGGTTCTGGTTCATTAGCAGGGACAACCTCTGCATGGGCGCTTTCAGCCTTGTCTTCGTATCGTCCGATCCCTCGTGGACTGCGGGGCCCTTCATCAGCATCGATTTGGGCCAAATGCTTCGGAATTACAATTGGCATCGAGAAATCCTGATTGCTGTCCTTGAATAAGGCCTTGGTAGGCGACCGGCGAATAGACCCGGGAGTAGCCGTATCAAGTGGAGTACGGGATACCCTATCACCTCTTTTCGCTGTTGGTATCAAGATGCCTTCGGGCGCATTCCGCATGCTTTCCTCGACAGCAATACTAGTTCTGCTCCTCGTCAAGCGTTTGGTAGTACGAACGAATGGCTTCTTAAAAGTCGCATCCTCTTCGTCAGTGAGCGGCCTCTCAAAATCGAGGGCCAAGGCACGGTCGATTTCGTCATCGTCAGGGACAAAGGTTTTCGAATTCTTCTTGACCACCGACCTTCTGGCCTTCGAGGCACTCCTGACGCCCTTCTTAGGGCGCCCTCTGGCCGGGCCTGTTGTTACGGACTCGTTATCGCTGTCAGCCATCTTGGCATCTGCATTTGGATTAATGCTCGACTGTTTGGCAAGACTGGCCCTAGTTGTCCGACGCTTAGCCGGTGGGGGTTGAGCGTTGTCTTCATCCGTATCCTTTGAACCGTCCCACAAGATGACGGGCTCTGGGTTCTGAACAATACTGCTCGCTCTCTTCCTCCCTCTGGGGGCCTTGACCGGCTCATCAATAACAATCGGCTCTGGGCCGACAGAGAGCTCCCGAACCACGGCAGGCACCTTCTTTGCTTTCCTGCCGCGTGCCGTTTTCCTGACTGGCTCGTCTTCCCCGTCGCCGATTGAACTAGCAAGCGACTGAATCGACGCCCTCGACGCTCGTTTAGTGGCTCGTTTTGGTGCAGGCTTCCATGTAAAGAACAGACAATCTTGAGAACGCCTACGATGTTCCTCCCTAAACCACTTCCGTTAGCGCTGTAATAGGCAATGATAAAAGCAACATACAAAGGATCATCATTCATCTCCCATCCATCAAGGGTCAATTCACAATACGCACAACTAGCATTATCTTTCGAATCCTTAGCCGGAGCGTAATGCCATCCCGCTCCCGCCATCTAAGGCCAGCCCAAGTCAGAACCAACCAGCCGGAAAAGCGGACAAAGCCAAAACTCACAGTTTCAACCTTTGGCAACCACCCCCGCTTCTCCTCATGCGGCCACCATTTCCTCCCAAAGGTCATAACCCGCGCTTCAGTCATCATTGCCCCGCGAGGATCCGATAATGCCTTGTGATCATCCCTAAATGCCAAAGCATACGCAACCTGGGCCCACCCGCAATCAGGACAATGCTTAAAGTGCTCGGATATCGGATCATCCTCCTTCTCCCAGCCATCAAGGTCTTTATCGCAAAGGTAGCAGGTGACGTTGTCGAGGTGTGCATCGGAAGGATTGAAGTAGAAGCCGGCGTCGGCCAGCTGTTCGAAACAAATGTCAGCCCCGACTCCGGAATTCGGAAGAATTGAGAAGAGACGTATGTATATATACACACCTTTTGGGCGGAAGGTTGCTCATGCGGCCACTTCCCGCTGCCGGTATTTTTATTTCCAGCAGCGGATGATGCGCGCCGCTTACGTGTGAAGGAAGCTAGTCGCTTCTCATGAATGCTCATGTCTTTTTTCGACATGATTGCAACAATATGTTTTATGGGAACAAGAAAACAAAAGAGGGACCGTAGAAGGAAGAGAGAGGTCTGGTTAGTGGGTTAGGCGGAGGGCAGATCCGTATTGAAGTCCAGCCGATTCTGGATTTATTTGTTGTGTTGATTGGTCAGTCAGTGGTGGTGAGGGTGATGGTGATGGTTTGATCGTGGGTTGTGAAATAGGGGGTAGATGGTTGAAAGAGGGAAAGCCCCCTTGTTGTTGTTGTCGTCGTTGGCCGCGCCGCAGAAGTGGTAGAATGGAGGAGACTTTCTTTCAGGGCGTGTTTGTTTTTGTTGTGACTTTAGGACTTGGATGGGATGATAACTGGTAGCCCGATGACTAAGCCCGCATTTCCATCATATTATGAGATGATACATACCAAAAGCGGTATGGTGTATCATATACCGTAATATAATATTATCCCCATAGGTTTAAACTTAAACCCTCTCCAACAACAAAAAAAAACAAATCTCCCAACTGCCAGGAACTCGGGAATAACTTTCCTCCTTGTCGCCACCCCCTTGTCTACCCTTACTGTAGCTGTCCGATATGGGATTGACGGAATAACGAGCGATCTTATCGAGGTATGATATCGTTCTTTAAGTCTTGGCATTCAAATCTCTCCCCAATTTCTAAATCTTTTCTCCTTTTCTCTACCCTCATCTCTTGAAACCCCTGCCCAGATTTGTCATTCTCACCCGGTGTCTAGCCTTGCTTGATTTGAGGGTTTTCTGCATGAGTGGTGTTGGTGGTCTTCCTCTGTTATTTAATGTCCAAGCATCTCTAAGAGTGTCCTTTGCGCCATCACATATTGTTCTTTTCGTTCACGGGCATCTGATACGTTGAGACATGATGATACCACGGCATTTGGCAGTAGGTTTTGCACTTTCCCAACCACCACCGCCGATGCTACCCTATCACCTACAGTAGAACACAATAGCTAACCAACAACCTCCCACCTCTTTCTACAATAGTGGACACCCCGGCTACACCCACTCTACCCCTCCAGTCACCTTCGACAATACCGAAACCTCTCCTCGACTCCACCGTCGACACCGCCCAACGACAATGACCCTAATGCCAAACTTCCCCCTCCGCCCCCAGACTTCGACGAGCCTGACCTAAACCTATCCTCCTACGCCCACCTCCCCCACAACTTTGGCACGAACCAGCACATGCACATCGACGATGCCCTGAAAGACCGCCTCCGCTCCCTCCTCTGGCAATTCCGTGCCCCAGTGCGCTACGCCTTCGCCTACGGCTCCGGCGTATTCTCCCAGGGCAGCAACTTCAGCAGTGGTAGCGTAGCCGGAGGAAAGAAGCCGATGATAGACCTGATATTCGGCGTCACTTATACACAACACTGGCACTCTTTAAATCTTGCGCAGCATAGAGATCACTATTCGTTCCTGGGAAGAATGGGAAGCGCTGTGGTCAGCCGCGTTCAAGACGACTTTGGAGCTGGGGTGTATTTCAATCCTTACGTCGATGTTGGCGGGACGGTAATACCCCTCTTCCCTCACTTCTGTAGTCCATAGGGGAATAGAGAAAAAAAAAGAGATCGGTGCTGACGCCCAGGAGCTCAGCTAATAAAATACGGCGTGGTAAACCTCGAAACTCTAATCCACGACCTGCGAACCTGGGACACTCTCTACCTAGCGGGGCGCCTCCAAAAGCCGGTAAAAATCCTCCGCGACGATCCGCAAGTGCGCCTAGCAAACCAGCACAACCTCCTCTCTGCAGTCCGCACAGCGCTCCTACTCCTCCCGGAGAAATTCACAGAACACGACCTATACACGACGATAGCCGGGATTTCCTATACCGGCGACCCGAGAATGAAGCTATATTCGGAAAACCCACACAAGGTGAACAACATCGTCCGCAACCAGCTCCCGCACTTCCGTCGCCTGTACTCTCCGCTCGTAGAGCAATTGCCCAACGTACAATTTTTGAGCCAAGGCGTGACATGGAACGACCCGGCGGAGCACATCATGCTAGAGCAGGACATGGACCCCCAACGCCGCGCAAACATAATCCGCCGCCTCCCGAAGTCCTTCCGGGAAAAGGTGTACTTCCAGTACCAGCGCAAGTTCGCCATCCCAGCGCTCGACTTTGAAAAAATGGTTGGCCGAAGTGCCGATGAGGAACGCATGCTTAGGCGGGAAGGGGGCGAGTTTGAGCGCAGGATCGCGACGGATCCGGGTAACGTTGGAAAGGTTGTCGGCGACGTTATTAAGACTACTATTGGATGGCCGAGTACCATTCAGAGTCTCAAGGGTGTAGTGACTGCTGGGCCGCTGAGGAGTTGGAGGTACTTGAAGGAGAAGATTGGGAAGTGGTCTGCTGCTAGGAAGAGTGGGGCCCGGGATAGAAGTGGAGGAGGTAAGAAGGGCGGTACATATTGATAGGGATTATGATGATGATGAATATCTGGAGTTTTTTGACCCAAGTTAGTCACTATGACCGGATCCTTGGCTTCTTCTCCCCGTTTTTCTATCCCCCCATTTGAGTTCTAGGCGGGTTGGGAGCTGCCTAGAGTTTCATTTTCCTCAGTGTCGTCTCCAGCCAGCGGCAGTCTTCTTGCTTATTTCTTGTACATTTATCCAGGTGCGCTAGATTGTGTGTAGAATGAGTAGTATCATGTATCGTGGGTTGCCGGGGCTGATTGTACACCCAAGCAATGAGAGAGGGGCCTAAAACCGCCAGCTAACCAATATTGCTACCATAGATTTGAAATCAGGAGAAGCGTGTTGTATGCCTGCGACTTCGGTGAAAGGGAATTTCGCAGAATAGATGGTGGAGCCTGATGGTTTATTAGATCTCCGGGGTTTGCACGTATCTGTTGTTGAGCCATGTGTCCAGTTAATTCTGGCAACCCACATTCCGGATGGGTGCCGTAATCACACAGGTACATGGTTGGATATCCGCTCTAACTACTATATGGGAAATAATCATATCCATATGGCATGACCCGTCTTAATTTGCCCCTCTTTATAATATTGAATGACAGCTTCTTGACTCTATATCCCGGTACGCGATACGGCGAGTGACACTAAGTGAACTTCTTAGAATGGGGATCGCATTGGTCATACAATTGGTACCGGAAGCACCGTTCAGAAAGAGAAAACCGGAAACACCAATCCGAACCCACCCAGAGCACTATAACCTTTTCAATGCAGCGAACCTCTTCGCTAGGTCGTCATCATCCAAGGCACTCCTAGTCCCACCAGTTGCGGCCGCCGGCTTCCTATTCTCCGTAACCTTCTTGGCGAGGGGGCGCATGGCTGGTGGGTCAGGTAGTCTGACAACAGGATGAACATTCTCCGTAGATGGGGATGGGGGGGCGACATTGATCGGAGATCGCATCTCGCGAGGCGGTGTAGCCTTTGAGAGTTCCGCCGCCTTAGGGTCCGCGAGAAGAGGAGGGTTTTCATTGGCGGGGACAACTATAGCGGTGGAAGGGTCATCGTCGTCGTCCCCCTCTGGTGGAGGTGTACTCGGGGGCGTTTGCCCCCAGGGGATACCGTAGGTCCGAGCAATTTCCTTAAGATAGAGGGTTACGAGAGTCTCTGAGGGGGGTTCGACACGAAGTTTCTTTAGGACCTATAAAAAAAATTAGCTATTTCGACCTCAAATGGAGGCGCAAAGAAAGGTACCCTCTCTGCAACTTTCCCGTCACTATTCTCAATAGCGGCAAGGGCAAACTCTTTACCGTACTTCTCGACGAGGAACTGGCGGACTTGTTGAAGCTCTTTGATTTCACTTCTGGGGGCAGCGTAGATGATGCTTTTCACAGCTTCCTCTAGTCCTGGGTCACATTCCCTAACATCGTCAACGAGATCCTAGAGAGCAGACAAAGCGTGAGGGGATATACTTCGGTTCCATCAGCCCCACCCTAGCAAGCAGGAGCTCACAATACAGCTCCAATATTTCCATGAGCTCCACCGAGATGTCCTGTCGGATGATATTCTCCACCCGAATCCGGGCAGACTCTTCTTTACCTTGTTCCAGGAGCTGGGCCATCTGTCGACGGTTCACCTTCGCCAGGGCGGTTTCCCGCTGCTGGGTCATTCGTAGGCGAGATACGGAGAGCTTGAGAGCTACCTTAAGCTTCGTCTAATTTCCGGAGGCGTTAGCTCTAGTGATAGGGCACGCCGGGCGGGGTAGAGCTTACGATGAGTGTCGAGGGAGGAGGCATAATGAATATAGATGAAAAGGACGAGGTGAGGTGAGATGAGAATGTACTGGATAAGAAGAGGGATGAAGAGATGAGCAGATGAGCGATGTAGATGTCAATATAGGAGTTATTGAAAATGATAAAGTTCCCCGCCAGATGACGACGCCCCGCCGCCAAGACAAGAATGCCTTCAGAAGGTAATCCTTGGTGGAGTTTATTCGAGTAGATGTTGGTGTCACATAAAATTTGGGGTGCTCTGAGCCCAACCCACTGTGCCGGTTGCTCGGGGAGGCATGACGGAGAAAAATTTCCCCAATTTCTCCCTGCCAAGCCCTACCGTAAAAAGAGGCTAGGCTCCAATCCTATCCCTCTGATAAGTTACCCGTGTTTCCGCCTCTCCGGGCTTGCTAGCGAAATTTTGGCAGAGGTTATATCATAACTTGCAAACTCCTCCAGCTTCGAGAGCTACTCCTACTCTGCCCCTCCTACCTAGTCATCCTCTCATTGAGAAAGATCCCCTTCTTCTGTACTATCTTCAGACCCCATCACGCGACCAAAGCTTCGTTTTAGCTTCATGTTTGAATTATGGCCGCAACAGGTCCCTGCAGGAAGCGGTGGCTCGCTGTTCGTGAGGAATTGACCAGAGGTATGTTTTCTTAGGCACCCCAACCCTTTCAAAAAATGGGGCCGACGAGACCAATCAACCTTGGAAACAACAGATAGGTTGCCAACGAGAATATTCAAGTGTGTTCTTGCCACTACTCTCACGGGTTTGTATTCCCTTACGGAGGATTAGGCTATTAGGAAATCTATAGATCCTGTTGCTAATCGAGAGCTTAAACTTTCAGTCATCATTTCACTGCTTCCGAATATCCGCAGTAAGGATCCGAAATTACTCTCCCCTCCGCCTTCGAATCCTTAAATTTTCATGTTCCATTCTTTGTTTGCATTTACGGCGTTACATTTGGTTCTGTGTTGGACAATGTTTGCTAAAACGCTGTGTGGGTGGACAGATGTGTATGGCACGGCGGCATATCTGGCATCCATCACAACGGTGTTTGTGTCCTGACCCCTGTCCAATTGATTTCTACTTTGCGCTCTAGTTATAGCTCATTATACTAATATCTCTTCTACAATACAGTTTCGGTATTTAGCTTCGTTGGCCCATGACTTTGCTTTTCTGACCCTAATTAGGCCATCCCGGGCGTCGACTTGGATCGATGGTGGAGTGTATGCAGCCTGCCGAGTCACCCCAGGAGAGTGTATTGCTGATTGGTTTGCTTCCTAGCATTAATGCTCGCATCAATCGGTGCGTCAATTGGTATTGGGTGGGCTTCGTTGGCGGTATACCTAGGATCACTTGTACATCCTCACAGTGAACGGGGGATGATGGCGGTAAGGGCAACCTTCCTGACAATAGCACTTTTTGTGCACGGTTACGTTAGGAGCTCCACACCGAGGCTTTTCATATTAGTTCTCCTCATGATTATACCCGTGGTTATCGGATTGGTATGACTCCTCTACTGGAAACTTCATCAAAAATTCAAGGCTTCCCATCTGATATTGAGAGAAATAGACTTCTCCGATATATGAAATGACCGCTATTTTCCCCAAGCAGTTCTTTTTTCCGATACTAACGGCTTCAGCAATTGTGCTGCTGGTAAATGTGGCGGTGTTTCCTGAGTTTGGAAGCACCTACTTGGGCTTGACAACAGTCGAAACCCTTCAGAAGACTTTGAAGGTCCAAAAGGATGCTAGCCAGCTATTCCTAACTTGCACGAATCACCCAACCCCAGATATCGGTGGAAACTCCACAGAGAAAGAACCTTCCTTAAAGGATCTAACCGAGGCGAAAGGCGAGCTTCGCAAGAAAGTAGCCGAGTGTAAAGGCGCCCTAATCGAATGCTCATTTGAGCTTGCATTTTCAGTCCTCGCGCCGTGGGAATTGAAGCCCATAGCAAGCAAAGGCATTAAGAAGCTCGTCGCCAACACTCTCAGTCTTGTCGGGGCCTGTGAGAGCAAATATGCATTACTTGGTGACGGGGGTGCAACTAATAACAGAGCAGTGGAGAAGAAGAAACACAGTGAAAAGAAGCGCTCAGCGGAGGCCGCTAATATTGACCAAGTGAGACCGATAAAAGAGATTGAATCTGGAGACCAACAGCTGTTGCAGTACCTTCTTGAACGGTGTGTAAAAGCTTACCGAGTGAGCGATGATGACAGGACTAATTTGATACCCGTACGGCCTCTAGGGTTGAAGCACCACTAAGCGGCCTACAGGCCACCATTGACAGATGCGTAGATATTATCAATACTTGTGTTGCGTATACATTTGTATTGGAACCCCTTTCGGCACACCACATTTGGTACGCTAACGAATTTAGGATGTTCCCACGCTCCCGTCCCTGAAGCAGGGTAAAGGAACGCCTCGCTGTCCGAAAGGAATTCTGATCCAGGAACTCGATGTGCATATCGATTGGCTTGAAAATGCCATTGGGGAGTTTGGCAGAAGATCTACCGAAGCCCTTGAAGGCGCAGCAATTCAGGAAACGAATAACGTAGAGATGATAGATGGGGAGATCGATGTGATGCCTCGAGATGAGATTTTCCTGATCAGCAGCTTTATGCTGAATTTGCGTCAGGCTGCGTGAGTATATCTATTTCGCCACATTTCACCCGCCGGGACCCTAATCTTTACGTTGCCATTACTAGTTCACATACGCTGGACATGTTGAAACATTCCCGAAAGCTAGTCGAGCTCCATAAAGACCGTAAAGAAACCCGAAGGATCTGGCTTCCAAAGATTAAGCTACGTAAATGGCTTTTCAGTGGAACTGAAGAGCCTGAGAGTCTTCCGGCCGCCCAGAGGGATGCTTATCTCAAGGAGGGCGGCGATCTGGGTGAGGATGAAAAGGCATCCAGAGAAACACTAAGGGAGGGGAAAGATCGGGGACGGAAAAAGAAAGTGAGAGAGCGCGTAGCCGATTTTCTTGAATGGGTTGGCGATTCAGACCATGTGCTCTACGCTTTCAAGCTGACATTGGGTGTTATGTTGGTGACTTGGCCGGCCTTCGTTAGCGGCTGGCAGATGTGGTTTTACTACAATCGAGGATGTAAGAGCTCCATTCCTGTTCCCGATGCCTGATGACACTGACAGCTATTGTAGTATGGGTCGGTTTAATATTTATCCTTGTTTTCGAGAACGCTGTCGGATCTACAATTTGGATTTTTGCCCTCCGTGCTGTGGGCACCTTGATAGGGTCTGTATGGGGCTACGCCGCATACGAGGCACGCAACGGTAACGAATATGTAATCGCAATAATGATCTTGATAGGAATGACTCCCAGCTATTACGTCCAGCTTGGAACCAGATACATGAAAGCGGGCATGATCTGCACCATTTCAATGTGTGTTGTTGCGGTCTCTACGCATTTACAAACTGTTCCCGGATCGTCGCAGGAGAACTTTACAAAGCGTTCCGTTACTATGCTTATAGGTGATGTCTCTTCCGCCCTTATTTTCGGCCAATTCACTAATTCCCCCAAAGGCGGTGCTGCGGCAACCTTGGTACAAATGATCATCCTACCTGCCAAAGCCCGAGTGAGACTGAAAGAGTCGCTCGCTTCAGCAATCGTGCAGATCACCAAAATGGAGACATGCATAGCATACGGAGTGGACGATACTAGAAATATCGTCAGCACACCTAGGCTATTCCGAAAATTCGAGCGAGCGGCAAAGAAGGCCGAAGCAGCTCTTACCAGTGCAGAAACCTTCCTGGGCTTCACAAAGCAAGAGCCGAGACTAAAAGGTTCCTTTGACACGCAAGAGGTAGTGTATAAGGAGATTATATTTGTCCTTCGTCAAATCGTTGACAAAATGGAGAATTTGCTCCAAATGCGCAAAGCCTACGGCTCCGCCGTTCTGGAACAATATAACTCTTTAGTTTACAGCTACCGCCGTAACGTTGCCGCCTCAATCACTCTAATGCTCTTCTCCTGCCACGAAGCACTGACGACAAAGCTTCCTCTTCCACAATTCCTACCATCGGCAAGGTTAGCACATCTCCGCATGGTTGTACGCGTCCGCCAGATCCTGCTCGAAGAAGACCAGCAACAAGAACGCCAAGAGCTGAGCGAGCGGTTGGATACCAACGCCGGGGCCCGACGCAGAGCACTCAGACTCAAATTCCTCTCCTGGAACGCTTCCACCGCTGCCCTGGAAGAATGCATAGAATACGTGGAGGAGCTAGTTGACCTCTTGAAAATGCTCGTCGGATCAAACGAGTTTAGGTCCGGGCTACTGCACAGGCCGACGTACAGGGAGTACGTGGAGAAGATGCGACAGCAGAGGATGGGTACTGGTGGGGAGGGTGTAGAGGGTGACGGGAAGACGCTGGCCTCGACGACCGCTAGTTCCTTCGCTAGGAAATTAGCGAAGATGAGAGGGAAGGAGGAAGATGCAGCTTTGGAAATTGATATTCCGAATCCACTGCAGAGGATTCATTCCCGAAGGGCTGAGGCGAAGATGGGGAGGCAGAGGAATAGGGCTGCGGAGGGGGTGAAGGAGGAGGAGGATAAGTGGTGACTTAGTTTTTTTTTTTTTTTTTACTGGACCCATAGAGGCGTTTCTTCTTTTCTTTTTGATTTCGGATACCTGGTATTTGACAGTAAAAATGTGGGGTAGCATGGGCATTGGGCTATGGTTATAATGCATGGATAGGCTATGAGAGAAGCATTGGGGAGAAAAACATCTAACAGAGTTTGGTTTGGTTTAGGCATGCACACATGCTTGTGGGGTGTCGGTGAAAGTGGAAGTCTAGGATCTATTTTTTACAGATTAGAGAGCCCGTATTCTGGCGGCAAGTGCCGCAGTGGATATCATCACCGAATATACGTCCTCTATGGCACATCTGTGACACCTATATCCCCCACCGCTCACCCCATCCACCAATCCATCTATTGCCTTTGTAGGAATGAAGAGAATAAGAAGAAAAAAGTTGGCCCGAAGAGAGTACATTCTACTTCCCACTGCCCTTCACCAACCCCTCCCACTCACATAGATCCCCCATTCCCCATTCCCTACTCCAACTTATCCAGGTGCTCCAATCTCGTAAGCACAACCTGCTTCGACGTCTCCTCAATCTCGCCGGCCAGAAAGACCTCGTCGAGTATGGCATAGACCTTATAAAAATTGAAAACAAGATCCAACTCGCAAACGTTCCCGAAAAAGGCATCAAGGACCTCCACGAAGAAATGTATGGCCTCCAGGTACGCGAGCTCGTTATCGTTCGCGTCAACACACACGCAGAAGAAGAGGCCAGCGTAGCGGCGGTAAACGATCTTGTTGTTGCGGAACTCGACGAAATTGCTCTGGTTCTTTTGGTCGCGCGGGGCGACGAGGCGGTGGACCTCGCCTTTCAGTTTGACTTTTTCATCGTCCTACGCTCGTTAATAGGGATGCGGGGCGATCGGAGGGTGGAGGGGGCATACGTCGTATGGGGCGTACCACTTTGCTAGGCGAGTTTTGCCTCTAGAGTGGGCGAGGGTGGGGGGTTAGCGCGGGTTTCGGGGAGGGTGAAGGGGAACCAACTGGCGGTTTTGGATCAGGATGAAGGAGAGGACCATTGTTGGAGGAATTGAGGAGGCTGCGTGCGGCGGCCGGTTCGTATTGCAGCTGGTGACGGGATCGGGGGGTGTGGTTGGGTTAGAGTTCGCGATGGGAGAGCTTACGGTGTTTAAGGTTGGTCACGTGGCTGGCGGGTTGAGCTACGGCACTTGCACGAGTACTCGAGTACAAGTGTAAGTTATGTAGACTAGCTGGGAGGTGACTGAAGGGGTTGGCGGTGCGGGTGGAGCTGGGTCCCTGCCAGACCACCGGTAAGGCAATTGATCACTCGTACAGTACAAGTGATCAAGAGAAGCTAACGCTGCTGCAGAGGTTACTGCGCCGGTAGAGTGTGATACAGGGGCACCTGTGCCGTTTTATGGGTCGCATTAACTTAACCGGAACAGACACGGATATACTTGGCTAATTGACCCCAAGTACTCGAGTACTGTAATTGTTCCACAAGTTAACCTCCCGCCAGACCTTGTATCATCGTAGGTGAAAACCATAGATTATCGGTATGATATCATACGAGTAGTAAATTATACCGAAGCTAAGTGAGTAGAGGACAGGCACTCGAGCCTACCGAGAAAATCACTAGGCATGAGCAACCGGACTTATCATACCCCATCGCACACAAGTTCATACAATTCCAAAGCAATAATAATAATAATAATAATAATAATAATAATAATAATAATAATAATAATAATAATAATAATAATAATAATAATAATAGAAGAGAGCTCGCGCATAGCATCGATCCTTTCACACAACCTTAGGTTTCATCTACAGGGCAGTCCCTCAGATTTTGGGGAGGGGTACTCGTACACTGGAATACCCGGAGCTAACCCAACCTCTAGGAAGAGTACCGGTACCGCAACTCTGACTTAGTACCGGTACAGTTAGTCGATCTTAGCCTCACAATCTCCCTAAAAGTGAAGTTTTTTTTTTTTACCACCGTGAGAATTCCCTGCGGAACCCTCGATTCGTGCGGGTTTTTCATACAGTGCATGCGTGGAGCCTCAGCAGTCGGTGCAAGATCGATAGGGGGTTTTCCGATATCTAATCTACTATGCGCATCGTGCAGTTCAACTGCTCTCTCTAGGAAGCTCCTACTCCTGGTGGGAGTATTACTACATTAGCCCAGCCCCCCCCCCCCAACACTCAAGTACCCAACAGGATCACGAATCAGAAACATGGAAATTGTCCAGAGGAGTTACCCGGAGAGCAAGGTAGTGAGCTTTCAATACGGTATCGCCACCCTTATCACGTCTCCAACGCGCATTGTCGGGTGAAAACGCTATCATACCACCTTCTCACGTGCAAATGAATTGCTTGCCAAGATCCAGCTAAAGTCTTTTTGGGCCCAATTGCCGTAATCCTTACATACCCGTTTCCCCGCCATCAATCATCCCGCTGCCCTATCAAGGCTCCGAGCCGAAATACTCTCACCACCACACGATACCCACCTTCTCCACACCCAAGATCACAGATGATAAATATACGACAGCAATGAATCCCGTAAGATTTCCAAAACGGGAGGGTGGGAGCTCTGTCGAAGAGAAGGATCGGGTGGTGCAGCAGACCGACCAAGATGCTTCCCAGTCGAGATTGAGCGCTGTTGAAGCAGGCTATCTTGAGGATCCGTTCGCCAAGTTGTTTGTTGCTGGGGAGGTACAGAGGCGGTATCCACTGATAAATAGAGGTGCGGGGTATGGATTATAACTTTCCGGGCGTCTGATTCTAACTGAGCTATTCACTCTAGGGACGTACATCCGCACAACAGCAATTGACAAGCTGGTCAACAATTTCCTATCTTCTTCCCCTCGGACGCCAAAGCAGATCATCTCATTGGGTGCTGGTTCCGATACCAGGTTTTTCCGCATAGCTTCCGCAAACCCGGGTGTGATACAAAACCTCGTTTATAGAGAACTGGACTTCCGAGCCATCACCAGTCGGAAGATTGCTTCCATCACTACTTCCCCGGAGCTCCAATCCCTCCTATCGCCACAGGACCTCACGGTAGACCAGGTAAATGGAAGCCTCACGTCAAAACACTACTCAATCCACCCCCTCGACATCCGCGCCCTCCACCCCTCCGCTGACTTCTCCGCCTCGATAAACACTTCCATCCCAACGCTCTTCATTTCGGAATGCTGCCTCGTCTATCTATCACCGACGGAAGCAGATGCCATTCTTAAATGGATAACGACAGACTTTTCCTCCTCGGTCGGTATAATATTGTACGAGCCGATCGGCGGGGACGATGCCTTTGGCCGCGTAATGATACAGAATCTCGCGGCGAGGGGAATAGTCCTAAAGACGCTGAAAAAATACTCTAGTCTCGAGCGGCAGGTTGAACGGTTAAGGGTTCTGGGATTCTCGGATGGGCAGCTCGCTGTCAGTGTTAAAGGGATACACGATGGGTGGGTTAGTGCAGGGGAGCGGGGGAGGATCGCGGGGTTGGAGATGCTGGATGAGGTGGAGGAATGGGATATGCTCGCTGCGCACTACTGTGTGGCTTGGGGCTGGAGGGATAGGGGTGAGGTATTTGCGGGGTGGCGAGATGTGGGGCGGGGAGATCATTAACGCCCCCATGTTGGGGGTGTGATACTGTAGGAGGGTAATGGAATGGGAGATTGCGCAGTTGGTTATGATACTAGGATAGTGGCTAGATTAAGCTCAATTTTGCGCTCCATGAACTCAATTAATTCTGCAATAAATCGTGAAGCGCGTTCAATCCAGTACCGGTACCGTATGCGATCTGCATTGTGCTGAGAGTACCCACAATGCAGAATTCTGTGCAGTTTCTTGTCGACCAATAATAATAGATATCCGAATCAGTAGTAGTGCGATTATGCAATGAGAGGAACGATGGTAGGCCGGACAAACGGGGGCAATTGATATCAATGAAACAGCAAGTCCACAATCTCTAGTCCAAACAATAGAGAACAAATGAAGCCCC